TGGCATGAAAAATACCCGGATGTGCCGCTATTCAATCCAAGCGAGATCATGAACGACCTTGTAGCACGTAACAAGCTAGGGAGGAAGACTGGGGAAGGATTTTACAAATATGATTAGGACCCAGGCCACAAAAATAATCAACTCTCTTTAGAGCTTAAAGCGGGAGGAAAAAAACGCGGACAACAAAGCTTAAACGTGATTGGCTCGTTAGCTGTCACGTGTTATCGCATGGTCTCAATCTGCTTTTATGTAAGCTGGAAAGTCAGTAACGTTTAATGAAAATCTTCGTGTCGTTACTAGCTTTTGTTGTTCTTACAGTTGAATTTCACGGTACTTGTTAAATAAAATAAGGTCTTTCAGACTGCATCGTCTTGTTGAACCTGTTTGTGTTTGTTACGATCCGAAACCGGCAATAAATGTTTACCTCTGCCTGGGAATGTAATTTTTCTATAGTGTATGAGCGCAAAACAAAAGATTTTACCCGGCCCTGGATCTTCCAACAAAAATCTTCGTATCTTCGTTTGTTCTTTTGGAGTTTACCAAGCTTAAAGATCGCTTTCACTGTCACGCAATAAAAAATAAATAAATTGGAAACCATCTGGTGGAAAAAGCTAAGAAATTGTGACGTTAAAGAAGATAACTAGGTAAGACACTTCTCCAAGTTTTAGGCCTGTGCGTTTCCCCAAACTTCAGATATTCGTCGAAATGTTTCGCAGAAATTTACAGAGCCCAGTATGAAAACGCCATGTTGGTGTACATCCGTGGTAAACAAATGTGGCGGCCAGAAAATAATGTAAACATCTGGAGCTTACTTTGGCTATCTAGGCGACTTATTACAAGTACTGAACAAACAAGCATTTACATAAGCACTTTTCCTAATGCGCTAACTTCTAAAAGGGCTCAAAGTCATGAGATAAGTATATATTTTTCAACAAACTCGATCGTAACCTTGTGTCACGCAACTTCATAACCCTGAAATTCAAATGCTCTGGTTTCCAAACGAAGCACGCCATCGAGCTGTAAAATTGTAAACAGATATAAATATACCCCCTC